TTACGCGTCTTGTTATATTCCTCTATTTTGACATTGTAAGTAATAAAATAATCTGTAATAAATTATCTCAATGTGGCTTTTACGCTCTGATGGTCAAGAAAGATTATAAAGGTGTTTTCATGGTAAAGTTGTAAAACCATTATAAACATTTTTTTTTTACGTATCAATAATAATTCTGCTCATGAAGATATTTATCTTAAAAACCTCAAAGTAATAAATTTGAAAACTATATTACCAGAGAATATTTTGTTTTAATTTAAAACTTAGGCTCATTGCAGTGAATGAAGATCAATGGACTGGATATAACATGAACGACCACCAGTAGGTCAAGCAAAAACTGCTTACTGACAAATATTTTGCATTTAAGAATTCAGGATAGAACATATATTAATTTTCAGCAATAAAAAATGTTTTTTTTAATCGAAAATTGGAAAACAAATCTGACCAGGAAGGGGTTAACAATTTTTTTTTTCTACCAAATTTTTAAAGGGCATTTTACGTTTACTGCCATGACACTTATGCTTCTATCTAATCGGAGTTTCAAAGTTAATTATCTGCCACATTTGAAATAGTTCATATTCTAACATATTTACCACCATGCTTGCAAATGTTCGAATAAAAAAGAGCAAATGTTCTAGTCGAAAAGCGCAAATGTTCTAGTCGAAAAGCGCAAATGTTCTAGTCGAAAAGCGCAAATGTTCTAGTCGAAAAGCGCAAATGTTCTAGTCGAAAAGTGCAAATGTTCGTTTCACTGTTTAGTGAAAATTGTCTAATTCAATCATTTTTAATAAGAATTCGTCGGTAATTTGAGTTTTACTCTGATCGTTGAATTTCCATTAACCACGTTCACTTATTTTTCATGCAAGTTGAATTTATTTGGAACAGTTTATTTTCTTCAGTTCGAAATCAAAACTAAAAATTGTAAAAAATTTTATTCCTAAATTGTTTTCATTAGTTAAATATGTGTCATATCTGGTGGTCTCGGTTATCGAAAATAAATTTTTAAAGCCCTTCATTCATACATTCGAGGCTTTATGTACTGTACAATCTTATTAATCAAAAAAAGCTATAAAAATTTCAAATTTTTAAAAAGATTTTGAACCCACTTATATGTGAATTTTACTGTTCTTGTATTTAGATTGATGTACAGTTTTTTTAAAAAAAAACTTATTTATTATTATTTAAACTGTTAAAAATAAAAAATAAACCTTTTCTGTAATTTTTAGTTTAAAAATTTGCGTTTTTCACGCTGTACTCGTTTTAGACTCAGTTTTTTCAACTCCTTAACCGTCGCGCCCGTCATATTGACGTGCATCGAATTATAGCATTTTTAGGCTTATAAACTAACATTTAATCATTAATTAGCTTTATAATTTAACACAAAAATTACGTTGAATCCATGAGCATCACAACTATTTTATGACTTCTTAGATGAATGAAAACGACAGCCCCTTTCCTAAGCAGGAGGGGTCATCTTATTAGAGAGAAAAGAAAATGAAACTCTTAAGGGGTTGAATTCTAATTTTCGGATATGGATAATTGTTATCGTGGTCCTATCAATTCCAAATCATACAAGTTCTAGTGCATTTACGGATAAAATAATTTTTCAGTTCCAAATCTGTGATTTAGACTTGGTATTTCTTTTTTATTCTGCTTTATTTCCGATATATTCTTGCGTCATAAACCGCTTTATGCTTATTTGTAATAGAACTTGTTATGCAATTAATCTGAATAGCGTCCTAGTCAAGAAGTCCTCTGACTGATATTGATT